AACGGTAAGTGAGGCTTTCTCTCTCTCTCTCTCTCTCTCTCCTCTTCTGGAAATCCTTCTCTCTTTCCACCTGTGGAAGGTTTTTTTTTGCAATGTACTTTCCAAGGTCCGCTTTCACCCCCCCCCTCAAAAAAAACCCTGCTTGGGAAGAACGAGTGAAACTCCAGGGGTTGGGATTTTATTTCCATGTTGGCTTCAAGCAAAAAGTTTTCCATCAAGGGGACTAGAACCATTTGCAGGACTGGGCCAAAGAGAAGTTATCAACGGCCAGGTTTGGCTGAAATCAGCCCATTTCTTGATATAATTATCTTTCTTTTAAAAAAAATTCACGGAAAGGAATGGGAAGGAAAGGAAGGAATGGAAAGGGAAGGAAAGGAAGGAATGGGAAAGAAAGGAAAGGAAGAAGGAAAGGGAAGAAAGGAAGGATAGCAAAGGAAAGGAAGGAATGGGAAGGAAAGGGAGAAGGAAAGGAAGGAAAAGAAAGGAAAGGAAAGGAAGGAATGAAAAGGGAGAAGGAAAGGGTAGAAAGGAAGGAAAGCAAAGGAAAGCAAAGGAAAGGAAGGAATGGAAAGGGAAGGGAGAAGGAAAGGAAGGAAAAGAAAGGAAAGGAAGGAATGGAAAGGTAGAAGGAAAGGGAAGAAAGGAATGAAAGCAAAGGAAAGGGAGGAAGGGAAGAAAGGAAAGGGAGAAGGAAAGGAAGGGAAGAAAGAAGGGAAGGGAGAAGGAAAGGAAGGGAAGAAAGAAGGAAAGGGAGAAGGAAAGGAAGGGGGGAAAAGGAAAGGAGAGAAGGAAAGGAAGGAGAAAGAAGAGAAGGGAAGCAATATTATTTCCTTCGTTTTCAGGTCCATTCACATCAGCTGCTATCTTAGGAGTGAGGAATGGCGCAACAAGTGTCATTCGCTTCTTTCATATATCGAGAGAGAGAGAGGCGTTGCAAATTAATAGGTCTCCAAAATGTAATGAAGCTGGGTGGGGGTCTCTACTTCGATCCCAGTTATTGCAAGGATGTATTCTCTGCCTTTCCTTGCCACGTCAGCAGTTTGGATGTGCAGATTTCTGCAGAAATGAAGAATCCCACCCCTCTGAAATCGGAGACTTCGCTTCCTCTCAAAGCCCCCCGTGGTCTTCCTCCTTGTATTCAATCAATTCTCCACCCACAGTTCCACCGTGTAATGTATTTTTTTTATAAAAAAAATAATTATATGCAGGCAAGATAGGCTACCCCATTGCGGGAGACTAGATTTTGCTAGCCACCAAATTTATTCCAAAGAGTTGCTTAAAATTCCCTTTCGTGCAGAAATGTAGCCTTTCAGGGAGAGGGCGGAATTCGAACGAAACCCCCCTCCTTAATCCTAGCTTTCTAAGCAAAACGCTTAGTTTCCATCATGTTAACGTCTGCGTCGCCGTTCAAATTACATCAAACCAATAAGTGTCCGCTTAATTAATTATAAAGGGACGCGGTGGCTCAGTGGCTAAGATGCTGAGCTTGTCGATCAGAAAGGTCGGCAGTTCGGCGGTTCGAATCCTTAGCGCCGCGTAACGGAGGGAGCCCCCCTGACTTGTCCCAGCTTCTGCCAACTTAGCAGTTCAAAAGCAGGTAAAATAATGCAAATAGAAAAATAGGAACCACTAATTTTGTTGGGAAGGTGACAGCGTTTGATGCGGCTTCGGGAGTTGAGTCATGCCAGCCACATGACCACGGAGACGTCTTCGGATAGCGCTGGCTCTTCGGCTTTGAAACGGAGATGAGCACCGCCCCCTGGAGTCGGGAACGACCAGCACATATGTGCAAAGAGGAGAACTTTTACCTTCACCTTTAATTAACCGTGTGATTTTTTTTTCCTCTCTTCACAGAGGGCACTCCACTAGAAAATTCTGCGCCGCGATGGGTAAAGCTTTCGGCTTCATCTTTTGTGCTACGACATTCCTTTTGCTTGGACAACCTAAATGGACAGGTGAGAAGATGGGGGGAAAAAAACCTGCATTTTACCCCCTCCGCACAACGCTCGAGTCCCCTTCATCCTTCCGTCACATTATTCTCATTATTTGAAAAGTATTTTGAGCAACCACGTTGCGTGTTATGTTTTCAGGACTGAGATTGCCCACGGTGACGTAGAAAGAGGGAACGCTTTTATTGTCTTAAATAAATCTTAGACGTCTTAATTAAATAAGCAAACTCCCCCCCCCCCCATTAACAGATAATAAAGGTATCCGTTAATTTCTTTAAAAAATACCTTGACTTTGTGAAAAGGACGTCGTCTAACAGCAAAGCAAGTAGTAACATTTGTGCTTATTTTATTTTTTGGACGGGGTTCTTCGTCTTAATTAAATCAGGGATGACGAACTAACGAATATTTGCCTTCTTCCAGATCCATTTCTAAACAGGTGTCAAAAACTCATCAGTCCGTTTGTAACCCCAAATCTGAGTTCGGCCAGATTTAACGCTTCAATCTTTCCCCATCACTGCAAAAACTTAGAAAAGGCATTTCTTTTTTTTTAAGGAGCGCAGGTTTGGGGGCACAAAATCCTCAAAAGAGATAATACGGTGTACAAATATTTGGAAAAAAAGGGACTTTGATCTCACTAATGACAAAGCTTTGACTTGGGTTTATTTTAATTATTTAAACTTAAGAGTCACTGGGCAGATTTCGATTCGCTGGCAGAGAATTTCTCTTGCCAAGCGTCTTGTGTTGGTTCGAGCAAAAAATAATCATAATAATTTACTTTCTGCAGCCGCTTGAATGTGAGCAAAGGTGAACAAACCCCAAATTCAGGTTTGATGTCAGCTAAGGCTCTCCTTTAGCTTGACTTCTCCTTGATCGCCTGGGGCCTTTCTGAGCGGCTTCAACAAGAACCTGAAAAGTTTTTGTCTCCAGGGAAATTTTTGTCCTAGGCCGTTTAGTCCCAAAATAGGGGAAATGCCAACTTTCTCGTTTGAGGGGACTTTGCCAAGAATCAAGGAGGCGTTTGCCCGAATCACTGCCACGTATCTTGGTCTTCTTCTGGATTTAAGGCATGTTTTCCCCCTGATCTTTCTCTGTCAAAGTTTCCTTCCTTCCTCCTTCTTTCTTTCCCCCTTTTTCCCATTCTCATCTCTTCCTTCCTTCCTCCCCTTCCCCTATTTTCATCTCTTCCTTCCTTCCTCCCTTTTTCCCATTCTCATCTCTTCTTTCCTTCCTTCCTTCCTTCCTTCCTTCCTTCCTCCTTTTTCCAATTCTCATCTCTTCCTTCCTTCTTCCCTTTTTCCCATTCACATCTCTTTCTTCCTTCCCCTTTTTTCCCATTCTCATCTCTTCCTTCCTTCCTTCCTTCCTTCCTTCCTTCCTTCCTTCCTTCTTTCTTTCTTTCTTTCTCCCATTCTCATCCCTTCCTTTCTTCCTTCCTCCCTTTTTCCCATTTTCATCTCTTCCTTCCTTCTTTCTTTCCTTTTTCCCATTCCCATCTCTTCCTTCCTTCCTCCCTTTCCCCTATTTTCATCTCTTCCTTCCTTCCTCCCTTTCCCCT